AGATTCCTTTTTATCCATATGTGGACAAAGGGTTCTGATGAATACGCCAAGTGTATAAAGTCGACTGCATGCTTTATGTGTCGAGGTATGAGGCGTCGACCTCGAGCACCCCTTTAACAACTCATGTTCCTACTGTTCGGGGATCATGTTCCTGTAGGTTCTCGAATATATGTCGACTTCTAAGAAGGTCAACCTACTCAAGTCGACCTTTATGAATCGACCTGTATAGGGTCTACTTTTCCGATACTCTGCTTTACTGTCGGATCGACTACTTTTTCGATACTCTGCTTTACGGCCGGATCGACTTTGGACGAAGTCGACTTAAGCATCCTCTCGTCCCGAGTCGATGCGCGGGAGGAGCTGATGACCTTCAAGTTGAAGAGAGAGAGCCTTTGGACCGGTATATCTTTATAGGGCTATATCAGTCGGTTTATCGGTTAATACACAAACATTTGGAAAGGCACCGAGAACCGGAACCGGTTTATGTAAAAAATAATCGGAACCGAAAAAAATGTCTTTTTTCTTTTTAAAATAACCGAACCGTACCGATTATTCTCAGTTCGATTCTCCGATTATCGGGTATAAAATCTCACCCCTAATAATAATTTCAAACAAAGAATTTTAATTGGAGCTCAAGGTCATTCACTAAAAAAGTGGAACTCTATTTATTTATGCTAGAATTGCTTCTATTTTTTACAAGAAAAATATATTTTTTGCTTGAACAAAAGGGAAACAATTAAATACGTACTGTACATATCATATCATATCGTAGGGGGATTTTATATTAGAAGAATAAAGTTTTAGTAAATAAATACAACATATTTGGATTGATGCGTAAACTATTCTTCAAAACGACCTCGTTTTATTCTGAGATTTTATTTTACTAGTGTGATACCCGTGCGATGCACGGAGTATACTGTAAATTAATATTTTATTAAAATAAATATTGTTAATCTATTTAAGACAACATGGTAATTATATACGACTCAATATATCAAGCCAGTAATTTTATAAATTTTGTTTGAATATCTTTTTTAG